GGAATTGATTGCAAGCCTTAGAATGCTTTAAATCTCCCTGTATATGAAAGTTCAATCACCACTTTTGTCAAAAAATTGAAGTTTCTTGTCTCAATTCTACACGACCAATCCTTGTTTTTATCATTAGGGTTTATTATACATATATAGTAGAAGCATTTAGGTCAATAAAACTGAGTTTAATCTTTGCAAATTGATGAGAGAAGATTTGATTTGTGCCTTGTATACTTTGTTTCTAAAATAAGACAAATCATGGTATATTCCAATCCAATTAGTCCTTGCACGAATTATATGATTTTCCAGCTGATTATAGACTCATAATGTGCTCATAAAATCCAATCTTTGATTTTATTTTATTATTCCATTATTTGAAATGATTTATTTTAATTTTAATGAATAAAAATCAAAACAAATAATAAAAATAATAAAATAATAATTGGATAAGCTCAGGGGTCGTGGGTCATCTTAGTAACAAGTTTCAAACAAGAAAACATGGGCCCATTTAGAAAAAATCAATTTTGATCAATGGTGACTTCATGCACATTTCCAAAATTTGGTCAACTTTAGAAATGCATATCTCTCTCATTTTTTACCCTAAGAGGGTGGTCTTAGACTTTTTAGAAAGCTTAGGATGTCCTCTAAACAACCCTTTTGGTTTCATCTCAATTGGATCTTCCATGTTCATGTAAGAAGCTTTGACCCAAAAGGTTTTTTTTTACTTTTTGAAATGACCTATAATGTTGGAGCTTATATCTTTTGATTGAAGCATTTCTTGAACTTGAGGGCTGAAGAGAAGTTTTAGGGAATTGGATTCTCTTCAAAATGATCCTTGGTTGGAAAAAATTTGATGAAGCATGAGAAAGTTATGCCTGATCAAAGTTTGGTTGACTTTTCCTATAGAAACCCTAAATTGCTATTTTTGACTTTTGATGAGTTAGGAGCATTTCTTGAGGAATCATGATCAACCCTTGATCAAATGATGGATATTACTTCAAAATGTTGATGTTGACCACAAATCTTTAAGTTTGACTGTATTTGGGCTACAGTTGACTTTTGACCTAGTATAGTTGATTTTCAGGCATTTGAGCAGTTGACTGAGCAAACTTGTAGTGCAAGGCATGAAACTTGGCATGGATGATCTTGAGGACCTATTAGGGATATAGAGGACTTTTTGGAACCTTGGGACTCAACCATTTTTCTTGAAATTGAAACCCTAATTTTAGGCTTATTGTTTTAAGAGGAGGATTTGTCTGGTCAATCCTTAGTCAACTTTGAGCAATTGAGGACCTCTAGGAGTATGTCTTATGTGAAAATGGGAGGGCAAATTTTTGGGTACAACAACTGCCCCTGTTCAATCTTCTTAAACCTGAGGATTTATATTGGCTTATCCGCCTTTCGTGATCTGAGGGTGAAAGATGATTGAACACTAGAGTACCCAGAAATTTGCACTCGCATGAAGTAATACTGATGGTTGATGACGTTGGGAATGGGCTTACAGATGCCATTTGGAGAAGATGACGGAAGATCGCCGGAGATGGTCTTAAAGATGTCATCCAGAGAATGTACCGGTGAGTCGTCGGAGATGGGCTTAAAGATGCCATCCAGAACAACGATAATTTCGTGAGGTATTCCTTTGTGGGAATTCATGTTCCTGTTTTTAGGGAGGACTCCGTTGAGGAACGTTGGTCTCTATCTTGGGGAATAGAGTCTAGGAGCTTCAGTTGTCCATTACTCTACTGAGGAGTCATCTCTTGATTAAAGAGACAGAATTAAACTGCTATCTGGTCAGGATCCAGGCTTCATAGTGACTTGCTGAGAATGATAAGGCTGACTGCTATCTGGTCGTATTTCAGGCTTCACGACGACTTAATGGGGAAATGGGATTAAACTATTATCCGGTCAGGATATGGGCTTCACAATGTCTTGAATTTTTGGTTGACTATTATACGGTCAGTTTCCGGGCTTCATAGCTTTTTTAACTGGAATAGAAACCTTAGTATCGATTTGACTAATCCAGAGAAAGGTTTTAAGTTGTCTTCAACTGGGATAGTAATCTTAGCATCGATTTGACTAAACCCAGGACATGCCTTGAATTAACTTTGACTGGCATAGTAATCAGGAGGATCTTAGTAGTGATTCAACTGATCCAGGCAAAAGTCTTGGTACATCTTCCACTGGCCTAGTAATCAGAGAGATCTTAGTGTCGATTTGGCTGATCCAGAGATAATCTTAGGTTAACTTGGACTGGCATAGTAATCAGGAGAATCTTAGTAGCAATTCAACTGACCCAGACGAAAGTCTTGGAATCTCTTCCAACGACATAGTAAGCAGAGAGATCTTGGGATAACTTTGACTGGCATAACTTCTTGCAATCCCCGTTTGTAAATTTGTACACCCCATCCCCAAATAATGTAATAGCGTAGTAAATTTACTTTCTGCAATTTACCGCTTTCATATAAATGCTAGTAACTCATGATTTGTATGGAAAGATAAAATCAATGCTTATAAAACACTAATCCAAGATAAATCAAGTATGAAATACAAAAACTTGCACACTTGTACCTCTAGGGTTAACTCCACTTGTTGCCTTAAGAAAATAGTCATAATATGCAAGTGAGATGTCTTAGCAAAAACAATCAAAAAATACAAGATCATAGTCCCTCGATGACGCTTCGAATGTTGTCTTACAAATGATTTTAGTGCCTCAAGAGAAATGCTAAGACATCTCACAACATTGTTATTCATGATTATACGATGACCCACGCCCATCCCTTTACATCCAAAGATAAGGCTTCTTACCAATCAATGGTAAGATAGCAATATCAAAGGAACAAATAAACAAAAAGACTTTTGAGTAGGTAGAACGTTCTTAGTTGCTTGCTCACAATCCATCTTCAAACAAACAAACACATTTTCAAAACACACCAAACACTTTCAAAACATGAAAATATTTTCAAAAAATTCCAACACTTTGTATGTATTCTTATAGAGACGAGAATCATTACAAAGTTTGCCTCAACGAGTGCACTTTTCAAAAATACTTTCAAAATCCACCACAAACATATTTCAAACAAAGCAATTTCAAAAGTGATCTAGCAAGCAACTAAGAGCCCATAGATAACTATGGATGAAAAGGGTACTAACACCTTTCCTTTTCATGATCTACCCCTCGAACTCAAGAAAACATCTCAAAGGTATTTCCTGTTCTTTTCACTATTTCCTTATTGGATAAAAGAAAAGTCGGTGTCGCAATAATTACGATCAAACGCAAAACAACCAAGTCAGTTATCCCATTGTATTTTACTACCACATATAAAACTGTACCCCCATGCTAATAGGCCAAGTCCAATATCTGAACTTGACCCCTTAATTCTTGCACCCCTAACTTTAATAAACTGTTATAAAACAACACTCGTTGCGCTTTGGGCCTAAATTCAACATCTAAATTTATGACTCTATTATTCACACCCCACCCTTTTACTAGCCAAACTGCTTTTACACCCTCTAAATTTTTTTAAAACCAATTTATTTTTATAACTTTATTTTTTTATTCATTCGTTTATTTAATTATTTATTATTTTCTATTATTTTGCATAATTAATATTTAAATATTTAATATATTTATAGTAAATTCTAAATTTATTTTATTAATTCAAATTCTTTTTTATTATTAACTCATTCAAATATTTTAATTGCATTAAAATTATTTTTCTCATGCATTAAAAAGATTTTTTTTCTCATATTGCATAACGTATTTGAAAAATATCTAACCAATCAAATTACTAATAATTTCCTACTAACTTAATTAAAATATATTTTTTTTTTTTATAAAAAAAAAGGATTATGGAGATATTTCTCATTAACTACGAACTTCGTCTAACAACTCCGCAATTTACAAACTCGGACTTGGTTCAAGGATTAATTCGAGATATTTCCATAATCTATAAAAAAACACTAACCAAACGTCTACGAACTACGAATTGGGACTCTGATTTCTCATAAGAGGATACGTAGACATACGACTTAAAAACCGTGGCGAGTTCCCCTATTAAAAATTAAAATCCTATTTCTTGAATTGTAAATCTGAACCCTAATATCCTTGTGAACAAGATAGATGGGTGCCTAACACCTTTCATTCATCTAAAAACGAATCAACAACTTAAAATCTCTGATCGAATTATAATTATTCGTTATATTCTCTTTTCTAAAATAAAAATGAATGGTGACGACTCTTATTTTTAATCTGATTATAAAAACTTCATCCTCAACACTACATTACATTTATACTTCTAACTTAAAAATATAAACAATTCCACCGTAAATTGCTATGTCTTGCATCACTAGTTACCTAAGTAAATTGCATCGAATTGGTGTAAAACAATATAATTAAGGAGAATGAATAATATATAATGATACTAAACTTTTGATCCTTCTATAAATTGATACCATAAACTTCAAAGCGGTTTTAAATTATGATTATTCTTCTAATCAAACACTTTAATCGGCTATTCATAACTCAATAACGAATTTATAAACTACACGATACAATTCTAAACTTTTATATACTTATATTGAGTCAAATAAATAATTGATTGATATTTTAACCCTCCATCAAACTCTTCATTAAAATGCTTATTTTATGTACATTTTATTTTATGTACAATTTGATCTTTGTAGTTCTCATCAAGCCAAAAAATTTAATAGAATAATTATATTTGCCTGCTGGCCTATAATAAAATATGAAACATCGACAATATTCTCTCTATACAAATGACATTATTTCTCATATATTATATACTATCTATTTTTTATTATTAGTTTTTATGTAAGAGTTTCTATTAATCTATGGATGTTGTATTTCTAATACATTTCTTTTCTCTAACACTATCTTTTGTTATTGAAATATGTTAAAAGTAAGCACTTAATTAATAAGCGTTTATAGCATGAAGTTGAGGAGAGTGTGTCCATTACAACTTCAAGCAACCCTTTCCTCATTTTCTTTTATGGCTTCTTCACCTGGAAACCCTAAAAGTGAAAATAATGATATAGAATCAAAACCAAACCATGTTGAAGAAACTGAAGAAAACAACAACATTGACTATTCTCAAAGAGCACAATGGCTAAGAGCTGCTTTACTAGGAGCAAATGATGGTTTGGTATCAATAACATCACTGATGTTAGGTGTTGGAGCTGTGAATGAAGACATCAAAACAATGCTTCTTGCTGGTTTTGCAGGACTAATAGCAGGTGCATGTAGTATGGGAATTGGAGAGTTTGTTTCTGTTTACACTCAACTTGACATAATAGTAGCTCAAATGAAAAGAGAAAACATAATCAGAAACACTATTGATGAAGACGAAAAGCTATTACCAAATCCTTTTCAAGCTGCTATAGCATCAGCAATTGCATTTTCTTTTGGTGCTACTGTTCCATTGCTAGGAGCAGCATTGGTTAGGGAATATAAAATAAGGTTGGTGGTTGTTGTTGTTTTGGCTAGTTTGGCATTGTTTGTGTTTGGTGGGGTAGGAGCAATGCTTGGTAAAACATCAATGAAATGGTCTTGTTTTAGAGTAGTGGTTGGTGGTTGGATAGCTATGGCTATTACTTTTGGCTTCACCAAATTAGTTGGATATAGTTCACTTTGAAAGTTGTTAATTACTAGATATTTCATTTTACATAAAATAACTTTACTTGTTTATTCCTAAGTCAAATTTTGTCAACATCCCGTTAAAAAAAATTATTAGATGTGTTTGATGTCATTTTATGAAAATCATTCGGTCTTAATGGTCTTAATTAGATTTCAAACTGATTATATAGGTATGAAAGGGTATCGACTAGTGTTAGGACACAGGATAAAGAGACAGACAATTTTTCCATCACAATTGGTTTGCATCAAGGGTCAATCCTAAGTCCCTATCTTTTTACCTTAATTTTGGAGGTACTCAAGGAACAAATCCAAGAGATATCGTCGAGATGCATGTTTCTTGTAGATGATATAATCCTTCTTTGAGAGTCGAGGGAAGAGTTAAATAAGAGGTTGGAGACTTGAAAAAGTACTTTAGAAACACATGATTTTCGCCTAAGTAGAAGTAAGTCAAAGTATATGGAATGTCAGTTCAACAAAAAAAGCAGGGTTTCTAACTTAGAGGTGAAAGTATGAGACCATATTATCCATCAAGTCACACGGTTTAAATATCTTGGGTCTGTAATACAGAATGTTGGAGAAATAGAAGGGGGTGTAAATCATCGTATTCAAGTTGGATGGATGAAATGGAGAAAGGGATCAGGTGTTTTATGTGATGCACAGGTGCCGCTCAAGCTAAAGGGGAAGTTTTATCGGATTGCGGTAAGACCTGCATTTTGTACGGGATAGAATGTTGGGCGGTTGAGAACCAACACGAGAACAAAGTAGATGTAGAAGAGATTAGGATGTTATGGTGGATGTGTGGTAAGACTCGACAGGATAAAATTAGAAATGAAATTATTAGAGAGAGTGTTGGAGCAGCGCCTATTATAGAGAAGATGGTGGAAAATAGACTTTGGTGGTTTGGGTATGTAGAGAGAAGACATGTAGACTCTATAGTAAGAAGAGTAGATCAGATGGAGAGAGGACAAACAATTCGAAAAAGAGGAAGACCTAAAAAGACTATAAGAGAAGTTATAAAGAAGGATCTTGAAATTAATGATTTGGATAGAAACATGATCCTTGGTAGAACATTATGACGAAAGTTGATACATGTAGCCGATCCCATCTAGTGGGATAAGGCATAGTTGTTGTTGTTTGTTGTTGTTGTATTTATTTTTTATTAGTATGATACGTTGAATTAATTTATTATTCGAAGATATTTATCTTTTAATGTTATTTATTAATTTAGTTTAATCTATTTATTTTTATTATTTAATTTATTTTAACTATAATTAATCACTCTCGTTTTATAATATTATATATATATATATATATATATATATATATATATATATATATATATATATATATATATAAATAAATAAGTAAAGTTAACTTATTTCATTCATCAATAGGAATTCAATACAAGGAGGATTAACATTAACTAAACTACACCTACACTAAGAATTGACCACTTTTGTTAACGAGTGGACAACTATATTCGCTTTGCTTTGATATCCTCAACCTCAAAGTTGGAAAAAATATGTAACAGCGATTTAATAGACCTAATGAGCAAGTTAAATTCGGAGTTACCAAGTTGATTGGAAAAGAGAGCTAGGACCACTTTTTGAAAATCACTTTCAAACAAAACATGATCCAGTTGTAAATCTATAGCGCCTTGAATAGCCTCTTTGAGCACCAAGGCTTCTTCTTCTAATATGGAGAAGGTACCAACATCCCAAGTTACTCCTACATTAATGAAGTTACCCACATTATCTCTAATACATCAACATATGTTCATTGTTCCCCTGGTCCGGTAAAAACGTGCATCAACATTACATTTAAGCCAACTAATTGAAGGCAGGTTCCAATGCAATAAATTGTGGTGGACATTTTCGATATCATGGAATTTTTGGGACAAAAACCATTTGTGTCATTTATGAAACGCTAACCAACCGAGTTTAGAAGCCTATCCACTCTCGTTATTCCAAATAAGGTCATTTCTATTCTTCCACATCCCCTCATTCATAAAAGCAGATATACCGGCAACCTTCTTATCCAACACTAATTCGTTTCAGGAAACCCAAAGAACAGGTGCCAATCATCTTCGTTACTATTGTCAAAAAATGGCAAATTGGCGTGCAAGGGACATAATATTGACGAATTCTCGTCTTAGAAGGTAAGCAACCCCTACAAATTCTCCAAAGTATATGTTTGACTCTACGTGGAGATTTGATATTCCATAGACTACTCCAATTCTCTTTCACTCTCTCATTCACATACCTCTTTTGGAAACTCCTCTAAATTCTATACCACATACGAACACTATAACTATTGTTTTGGTCCTCCTTCCAAACCAGCCTATCAACTTCGACGTCCTCCACCTACCAGACATGTAAGATATCATCCACAACTGCATAATCAAACAGATCACGTAACACCTGCATGTTCCATTGTTTAACATTATGTAATATGAGATATTAATGTTAATATCATACACACCTTGTTTTTGTGGACCGATCAAACACCCTTCTTTATTACCCCAAATCCAAGGTTCATCCATTACCTTGATATGACTTTCATCCCTTATACTCCACCTGCAACTAAGAGTTAGCACATCACTAGCTTTCCATATACTCCTCCATACAAAACTAGGATTATAACCAAGACTAGCATCAAAGAAATAGGTTCTAGGATAATACTTTTCTTTAAAGATTTTAGATACTAGTGCTTGAGGTTTTGTAAGAAGGAACCAACCCTATTTGGAAACCATAGCCATGTTAAAGGCTCTAAAATTATGGAAAGCCAAATCACAATCCTTCTTAAAATGTGTTAGCTTCTCCCACGTCATCCATCTTATACCTTTAATATTGGTACCTCATCCGCCAGAAGGAATATAACATCGTCTCAATGTCATTAACCACTGCATCAGGCAGAATATATAAACTCGTGACATAGGCTGGAATTGCTTGTAAAACCGATTTAATCATAAATTCTTTCCATTCTTTAGATAATGATTGATCCCTCCAAGAATTTATTCTCTTCCAAATACTATCCTTGATGAAAGAAATTGTTTCCTTTTTGCTACTACCAATCATCGAGGGCAGCCCAAAGTAATTACCGAAACCCAAGACATGACAAACTCCCATAATACTAGATAGATCTTCTTGAGTCAGTATATTCAAGTTACGACTAAAGAATACTTCGGACTTCGCCATATTAATCTCCTGACCATACACATCTCCATAGATACTAAGTATCTTCATAAGATGTCTATTGTACCCCAAAAATTTTCCCTCTTTATTCTCAAGACATTTCTCACAAAAGATCTCAAATACTCAAGAAGTTTCAAAGAGTTTGATCGGACAAGCTCACCTCCTAAGCACTGAGCCTCCAAATTAGGGTTTGTGTTTTCTCAAGGACAATTTCACTTTTAATGCCTCAAATTACTTTCATGATTGATTATAGGTATCCGAGATTGCTCATATCAAGTTTCAAGTCTTGCACTACAAATTTGCTCAGTCAATTGCTCAGATAACTGAAAATCAATTGTATTGGGTAAAAAGTCAATTATGGTCAATATACAGTCAAACTTCATAATTATTGGAAAACATCAATATTTTTAAGTCATATTCATCAATTGATCAAGTGTTGATCACAATTTCTCAAGGAAAGCATTCAAATCATCAAAGGGGCAAAATTGTTAATATTAGGGTTTTGATTGAGAATGACTGGTCATTGACTTTTGACCTAATACATGACCCAATGGCTTGAAGCATGATTTCAAGGATTCAAACACAACATGTTGACCTAACTTCATGGCTAAAATCATTTCTCAAGATCAATGGATTGATATTTAAATTTTGGATCAACTGATGAAAAGTCAACTGATACACAAAAAGTCAAACTTTGACTTTTTGATCAACATTGAATTTCAAAGATCAAGATTCATCCAGATACTCAAAAATATCAAACTTGATCATCAATAAAGTCAAGAAAGTCCACAAAAAGTCAAATTTTTCAATACTTAGAAAATTTCTAAGTATTTTTAACCTTGATAATTTCAATACTTCATGACAATTTTTCACCAACATGCATGATGATTCAAGGAAAACTTTCAACATGAAAGTTGTAGATATTGATGAACTATACAACTTTATATTAGCGGGTTGATATCTAAAAAATGCATAGATTTAAAGATATAAGCTCACAAAGTCATGACCTTTTTCATAAAACACACAGTGAAAATTTTAGCAAGTTTAGGCAGATTTTTTTACCTAACTTCTTGACCAATTTTCACCTAGCTCCGATTTGATTTAGCCAAAGTGGTCAACATGAAGGTTGTAGACAATGTTTCAATCTTTACAAAATTTCCAAGAACTTGAATAGATCACACTTGAGCTAGGAGAGTCGAAGAGAAGAAGTCGGACATCCATTCTTAAATTATAGGTCATTTTTTTATGAAGAACACTTGATCCAAACTTCAAGCATGCTGCATAATCTTACTTTGCAGGCCTTCAAACTTGCAAATCTATCTATAATCAGATGTTTACACAACTGATTGAGCCATTATCTAAGTGATTGAGCCATTTTCCAAACCATTTTTCCATTAATGGAACAAAGTTCACACTTCCATTGACTTCTACAGGAAGATTCAGCCACCCTCAATCCAAACTAAGCATTGAATTAGCTTCCTAGGAGTCAAGCGAAGCTATTCAGATCATCACAACATCTCCAGGAGTGCTCAAACTTCAAACAGGATTTCCATTTTTGAGGTAAATTTTCTCAACTTCAAACTTCCAATACAAGAATCATTAATAGTTATTTTGTAAAGATAAAATGTAGAGATCACTGCCCTGAAGCTAATCATGTCCTTAGTTTTCATTTATCTTGCCTGAATGATGCGAATTTTGAAGTTGAAGTTACAGAAAAATTAGGTCAGAATTTGGTACCAACTGAAATTCGTGTTCATCTTTGAGTGTTAGCTTAAATTATTTATATGGTTGAAATCGTGATGAA